AGCCCTCCTCCTCCCTGCAGGTTCAGAGCGTCCCAGTCAATGAGACGGCCTGTTGCCTCCTTTCCACCCGGGCGCCAGCTGCCCCTTCCCTACGCTTCATTCCCACCTTGCTCTGCCTCTGTCCCTGCACCCCGTGCAAAGCACACACAGAGAGCCCTCACCCAGATCAATCTATGTGAAACTGTCTGGACACAGAAAGTGCTAGGGTAGGAAACACACACACACTGAAGAAGCACAAACTGGGCAAAAAGGTAGGAATTCAATTTCACTGACTTTTTTTTTATGAGGGGGAGGTAATCAGGTTTCTTCACTGATTTCTGCTTTGAGGAGGTACTGGGGATTGAACCCAGGACCTCTTGGGTGCCAAGAATACACTCTACCACTTGAGCCATACCTTCCCCCTCCCTGATTTTTTGTTTTTTTCAGTTACGGGATTTCCCAGTGTCTCAAAAGAAAATGACAATCCCCAGACAAGCGTATATAAGTAAACAACGTAAAGACACTGGCAACAAACCCACTGTGGGTGGGAAATCACCAACAAGGGGAACTCTGCTCCCCTCTGAGAGTTCTGCAATTGTCCCAGGGCTGCCATTCCTGCTCCTCCGTCTACACTGGAAGTTGTGCAAGATGCTGTTGAAAGATCACACAGCCGAAAGGCAGGAACCTCAAGTTCCAAACCCATGACAGCCCCTAAGTCGCTGTGTGACTTTGGGTGAGCTCCTTAGTATCTCTGGGCAACTCTGTATGTCTCTCCACCTGTAAAATGAAGGCTGGCCTCTAGAGCTCCTACTGCACTCACAGTACCTCGCCCAGAACTGCCTAGGAAGGGCTTAATAAGTACAAATGGAAAGAAATGGCCCAGCATGATTTTGAGTCAATATAACCCCAAACCTGACTTAAGATTTGGATAAATAAGGTACCATTTCCCAACAAGTTCATCAGGAAGTTGGACAGAATGCATCCTCGGAGGATCAGAAGGTCTTAGAGATTTTCTTTTTCAACAACGAATTTTTCAGCCCAGGGGGTGAAGCGGGGTGGGGGATGGAAATTAGTAGAAGTAACTCTGGGGGGGCAGTGGAGGGACCCATGTGACAGAATCACTAGCGGGGGCTTGCTGTGTCACGGCACCACTCCAGGCTGCCTTAGGCCTGCCTCCAGGCGGTGAGCCCTGGATGTGGGCCCTGCCCTTGTGGGTGCATGATGACAGTGACATGTGTCTGCCCAGTGACTGGATGCAAACCCAGACATTGCCCTAGCCGAGGCCAGGGAGGAGGTGGGTGACGTACTCTCGGATCACCCATGCATGAACACAGGTGGAGAAAGGACAGCCCTCCGGAAGACGGGCGTGCACGCGGGGTCCTGGGCCTTCTGTCCCGGCAGAGACCCCAGAACTCTGAGATGCCTGCTGTTGCCCTTGGAGAAGCTTCATCCTCGGGGGGTCTCATGCCCCTCCCAATACCCTCTACCCATCTCTTCAGGACTCAGGGGGACGTGAGGACCTCAGAGTCTCCTCAGGGAGGGTCTTCCCAGACTAGTTCTGGGCATGGCCACATGTGCACACCAGGATGTTCTGTTCCCAGGTTCCCTCTGCCCCGGAGGGGAGACAACCCAGTGGCTGGAAAGCTCAGCATGGGGGGGGTGGGGAGACCAGCTCCGCCCCTCACCCACCACGCGGGCTCTGGGAAAGCTACCTGGCCTCTGTTTCCTCTCTTATAAAATGAAAAACAGGACCATCTCAACAAGCGGTTATGCAAATTAAATGAAATAATGTACCGAGAGCACTGGGCAACCCAGAGCTAGCTCTTATTTATGGTGATGATTACACAGAGCTGCGAACCCTCACAGATCAGAGCAACAGCAGGCCTCAGGGACAGTCTGCCAGCCACGCTGCTGAAGCGGGCCTGGTCAGGTCACGTGCCCGGGACTGGGAAAGGCCAGGAACACCTTGCCGCCCCAAGCAGGGGCAGGCTCTAGGATGGGGAGTGCCCGTGGGCTGCTGTAGAGGTTATGAAACCCACCCCCTTAGTGGGAAACAGTCTCAGAGACAATGAGTGACATGCTAGAGGTCACACTGTAAGTTTGTAACAGTATTTGGACAAGAGGACATAATAACTTCTAATTTCTTCTCAGTGTGGCCAGATTATTTTCTCAGATATTAACCTGTGTTTAGATAGCTGCGTTCTTCCTTTCCCTTCCTATCCCAAGAGGGTCTTGGATCTGTCCTCTGAGCTTCAGGACCAGATGGAAGCCAGCACTGGGCACAGAAGTCTCAACTGCGGCCTGGAGGCAGAATCAGAGCACAGGGCCCATGCAACTGGACAGCTCATAGAAGGCCCCTTTCCTGGGCAGCACCATGAGCCTCCTGGGTTCTGGGGTGACCCTTACCAGGAGGAGGCCTTTAATGACCAAGATGGAATTTCCTTCCTGGCTGGCCAGATGGGAGCTAAGGGTTGGAACTGAGCTGATCTCAGGAGGGTGTTGGATGGAGAGTCATACTGTCCACACAAGTCACTGCTCCTTCCCCTTTGCGACATGGTTCCCTCTGACCATATCACTCATTTGTACAGGGCTTTACAAAGTGCTTTCACAATCGTCCATTCAGCCCCTGAGATTCCGCCTGTTAACCAGATGAAAAAAACAGAGCTCTATTAAATGGACCGGATTTGCTCAAGTTCACATTAAATAGTAACAGTAGGAGGAAGCCTCAATTCTCCCGACTCCAAGACAGTGGTCTTTACAACCTGTCACTGCCCACCCTGCACTGGTCTCTGTACGCATCTGACCCCTTGCTGCCAGCTGAGCCTGCTCTCAGAGAGCACACTTCATTGTTACTAGGGTCCCACAGCCCAGGCCAGGCCTCCGAGGGAGAAACAGGCTTGCAGGGAGCATCTGGGCAGGCCTGCCCTTCCTGGAGGCCCCTGCCTTAGTGACCTGGCAGGATGCAATGATGACTTTCTAGACACTCACCTGACCTGGTAGTATGTCAACTTGGATGGAAGCTAAGGGCCTAGACATTAACAAAAACCCCTACTGCTGACTGGGAAACCAAAACAAAAAGTACAACTGGCCACCAAACATGAGAAAATCTGTAAACACACTAGCAAATAAATGCCTGCTAGTGGGGAGGGTATAGCTCAGTGGTAGAGTTCATGCTTTACATGCACGAGGTCCTGGGTTCAATCTTCAGTACTTTCATTTACGAAAGAAAGGAAAGAAAAGCAAGCAAGAAAGCAAGCAAGCAACAAAGCAAGCAAGAAAGAAAGGAAAGAAAGAAAGGAGGGAGGAAGGGAGGGAGGGAGAAATGCCTGCTGAATTTACGTTACTGTTTTTGTTGTTATGTCTATTAGGTTGGCAAAGTCTTTTTCCATCCATGTTATTGGTGTGAACATAAATTGATACAACTTTTCTACACACACACACCCCCCACACACACCCCAAAAGCCTTACAAGTATTCACTTCCTAAATACAACATGGTATCTTAAATTTTCCACCGCACGGAAAACAGACAGAAAACTGGCGAAAGCCAAATAAAGTCTGGAGTTTAGGTAACTGCATACCTAAATTAGTTAAATTAGTTTTGACAAATATACTCTGGTGGGTAAGACACCAACAGCAGAGGAAGCTGGGTGAAGGGTGTATGGAAACTCGCTGTTCTATCTTCACTTTTCTGCAAATCTAAAATCACTTCAAAATGAAAGCTTTTTTTTTAATGTTTCACCCAGAATTTCTTTTACCCAGAATTTCACTTCTAAGATTTTATTTCAAAACTTATCAGAGATGTAGATGGACATTTATGTACAAGGATATTGCACCACTTGCGGTGATCACAGGACTGTGGCAATTATCTACATGTTCAAGAACAGCACATTGATTAAAGAAGTTATGGTGTAGCCAATGATGACAGAATGTGGTCAGAAAGACTCACATTACAGTAATATGTATTGACACGGAAAATGCTTACAATAGAAGGTGAAGGGAAAGAATTAGGACACAAAACTATACATTTTAAGCCAATACAATTTTTAAAACAACGAACATAAGCAAGACAAGAAGAAAATACACCAATATACTAAAAGTAGTTACTACTGAGTCACATAATTAGAGTGAATTGTTATTTTCTTCTTTATTTATCATTTATATATCTTCTAAATTTTCTACAATGAACATATGTTATATTTATAATCAGGGGGGAAAAAGGTATGAAAAATCCCCAACCCATGGCAGTTCCTCAAAAATTTAAACACAGAATTACCGTATGACCCAGCAATTCCACTATGAGGTACACACTCAAGAGAACTGAAAACATATGTCTGCAAAAAAAACTTGTATGTGAATGTTCAGAGCAATATTATTTACAACGGCCTCAAAATGGACACAATCCACATGTCTAGCAGGATAAATGACATGTGGTATATTCATCCAATGGAATATTATTCTGCAATAAATAAGAATGAAGTATTAATGTGCGCTACACCATGAACCTTGAAAACATTGTTAAGTGAAAGACACCAGACCTCAAAGGACACATGGTAAGATTCTGTTCATATAAAGTGCTGAGAATAAGTGCATCCCTAGAGACGGAAAGTAGATTAGCGGTTGCCAGGGGCTGGGGCATAGGGAGCGACTGCTGATGGGCTGGGGTGCTAAAGATGTTTTGGAATTAGATAGTGATCATTGCACAGCCTTATGAACAGCCTAAAAACCACTGAATTAGACACTTTGAAGGGCGAAGTTTGTGGATTATTATATCTCAAAAAAAGAAAAGAAAAGAAAAGAAAAAGAAAAGAGAAAGGAAAAAAACTCCCCTGCCCAAATGCCACATTTCACTGCTTCTCACAGTTCCCTTTTAAAATGTTGTTTTCTTTACTTTTAAATGATGCTCAGGCCGATAGAATCCAGCTGCCCCCAGCAAAGCCAGGCTTTTGTAGGCAGAGTAGGCAGCCATCTATTTACAGGGCAGATAGAATCCTGAGAAGGTGACTGTGACCAACAATCGCTCCCCATCAGTTCCTTCCTTCCCACCAGTTAGTGGTCCTTCCTTCCCACCAGTCAGTGGTCCTTCCCTCTTTCCTGCCTGCCTTCCTTCCTTCACCCTCCTTCCCTCTTCCCCTCCCTCCAGCTCTAGAGCTACCCCAACCAGCCAGAGGCCCCACAATGAGGAGCTCCTTAGAGTTACCCTTTGCAACTGACACTCCATTAAATCTCCCCTATAAAATAGTTTTCTGGGATTTTAAATTTACCATGTGTGTGGGAATTAACTGATCAGAGCTTCTGGACATAAAGCTGGCTTAACGGGAAGGAGACAGGAGAGAGAACTTTACCAAAGGCAGAGGGAAGGGGAGGGTTCACAGCAAGCAGTGCCTCCTGGAATGGACCAGCCTCAGTGGGGCGTGAGGGCACTGGCGTCAGGAACCCCCAGGGACGGAGGGAGGACAAGGACATCAAGGCACATACACTGACTTCCTTCCTGGTCCTGAGAAGGCAGGTCTGCTTCTCAACCTAACCGGGCCTGAGGCTGCTCACCATGAAATCTCAGGCCTGGAGGCCTTTTAAGACATCCTGCGTGATGACATTGCTGCCCTAGACTACTGGGATCAGAAAAGGGAGAAGGGGAGCAGCAGGGGCTGGCAAAGCCAGCGATGCGTCCCTCCTCCAACCGCCCCCCGCCCCAGCCCCGCGGAGGGCTCGGCTTCAAGGACACTCAGCCACCTCAATACCTGTGTTCGTGGTTGGTCCTGGCTGAGCCTCTTGTTCTGCTGGAAACCCAAGGTCTCCACGCAGCCTCCTAAAGATGTATCTCCTGCAGGATGGGACCAAGAGCAAAGTCAAAAGACAACTCAATTCCAAAAATGTAAAACTAGGAAGAAGCAAATGAAAAATTAAAAACCGGCCTGAGGTTCTTTTCTGCAGGATGTACAGAACTTTGTAATGAGCAGGTGAGGAGATGGGCCTGGGACGCTCAGGGAGGGACGAGGAGGAGACAGGAGGTCCTGGAGCAGGGCAGCCCTTTGAGTAAAGATGCCACCCTCCTGCTCAGGGCCAGGCTGGGGTGGGCTGGGCAGACAATGTGTTGAAATTAAAAACTGGTGGAGGAATTTCAGAGTGGAAGCGGCAGTTACATAGTTCTGCACGTGAGAGCTCACCAAGGGGGCCTAACTGAGCCCCAGGGTTCAGGTAGGAGGCAGGGGTGGGCGGGATCCTTGTGTGTAATGGTCAACAGTCCTGCCTGTCTGGCAATCCCCTCTCTCTTCATCTGGACACAGCACCTTATTTTCCTGAGGGAGACCTTCACCTCCCTTGATTCCTACTGGGACTGTCAGCCCAGGATCCAGACCTGCCATTAGGACTCTGTCTGTTGATAACATGAGGAGGCTGGCACCACCTCTGCCCAAAGGCAGCCTTCCTGTCCCTGAAAGCCCGGGCCCAACTCCCCTGGCCTTCCTGAGGCCTCAGAGCCAAGACTTTCTTCAAGGCTGTGAGCTAGGATTCTTCTAATAGGTAACCTTTTGGGGCTTATGTTAGCTGGACCTACTCTGAATCTTTCCCTTTCTTATCAACTCCACATCTCATCCCATGCCAAACATGATGCAATGGTACTGATCATTCCCATTATTTACTGAGCACCTACCATGTGCCAAGAACAGCGTGCAGCCTGTCACATGTATTGTCTAATTCTCATTCCACAAACGCAGAAACTAGGATTCAGAGAGATTAATACCATGTCTAGAATTCCATAATTAAAAGAGATGGAAAGGGGATTCAGGTCTAGTTTGATCTAGCTTCCAAGCCTAAGGTCTCTCTCTCCCTCCCTCTCCTTCCTTTCTTCCCTCTCTGTCCTCCCAGTTTTGGATGTTGGGGGTTAGAGAGCTGAGTTAACCAGACTCCTCAGTTCCTGGCACTTGAACGCCACTGGTCCACACAAAGCCCTTCTCATTTTATTACCCAGCTCTTCCCATGTCACGGCACCACCTTCCCGTTGCCCAGGATCACGGCTCACATGTCATAGGGCCTGCCCTCTACTGACAGGCACTCCAGGTATTTGGAAGAGTCTAACCTTTGGGATTCTTTATTTCCTTGAGAATCAAAATCCAGTTTGACCTGGGAAACTTTTCCCATTAACTCTCTAGCACTCCTATCAATTGGCCAACCTATCAGCTTTATTGTGGGCTTAGCTCTGGGCTGGGCTGAGATGCGGCACTGATAAAGGGAAAGATTCAGTTTCCACTTTCAAGAAGTTTAAAATTCACACCTCCGTCCACTCAGCAAATAACATATGGAGCACAAACTTCATGTGCCAGCCTGAGGACAGAAAGATGAATGCAACAGTTCCTGCCCTGAGAGCTAAGAGGAGACAATTT